AAGCAGCTTTCAGTCCCAGTGGGATTCTTTCAATAACCGAACCACATGTCTCTGTGGAATCAGGTGACTCAGGTGACACTTCATCCTTTCAATACTGCAAAGGCTCCATTTACAGTCCTTCAGCAATCAAGGACCCTAGTGTAACTCTTATTTATTTATTTATTTATTTATTTATTTATTTATTTATTTATTTATTTATTTATTTATTTATTTATTTATGATATCCTCCCATGGACTGTGGCTCTCTGTGACCACACACACTGTATATAAAGCACCGTGGCTATATCTGTGAAGCACAGATATTGTGTACAATGTTATCTTCCGAACCTTACCTCCCTTACCCTATAGGATGAATAGTGGACAAGAAACACTGTGCTGGGGAAAATTAAATTCTTTGAGTTAGTTTATATGAAAATTTCTGCTCCCTTCTCACCATTTCTCATGACTAGTTATAATTTTAGAACATAAAAGAGAAAAACATAAGAATAATCACCACAAAGGTGATTCTTGTTATAATTAATCTTCCAAATTTTGTTTTGTAATACAGGGAAGCAAAGTTTAAAAACAAAAGTTTTAAGATATTATTTTCCTACATAAGGACTGCCAAGAGTGGGAGAAACAGTCTTCCCCAAAGAAAAGCACACAAATTAATTATCCAATACCAAATGGTCAGCTTTGAAAATACACAGACAAGTAACATGATAAGACTGAGCAGGTTGTATTTAGGAGCATGTATGTATATACATATATGCATATAACAATAATTAATGAAAAAAGAGGCCATGACTTTGAAAGAGAACAATGCTGGTATCAGGAGGATTTGGAGGGAGGGAAGGAAAGATTTCAATTATATTAGAATCTCAAAACCTAAATAATGACTTACTAAAATGAAGGAATGATGTAATTTATCTTTAATGTTCCTTTGTCTGAACTCTTTGGAGTATATCCCATGCTCATATCATAATTCTACCAGACATGGTGCTAGCTAGTGAAGACTAGTAGTTTTAGATATGTCTAATCCCTTGATCTGCTAACAAAACAAAACAAAACAAAACAAAACAAAACAAAACAAAACAAAACAATGAATAAACAGATTTTGATGAGCAGTGTGTCCTGTGTTCCATGGCTGGTGAGGCATTTTGTAGTAAGGCTATGAGAGCATCTGAATAACGGTAGAGATGTAAGAACTGGAAGGTGAATGCAGATGAGAAGACAGGGTGGCTTGATATTCTATTCTAAATGCTGTACAATCTATTCCAGTAGAGAACTCTTATTTTTCTGTTTACCAACCTACCAGGACACATATATGATCATTTTTTTTTCTGTTGAAAGCCACTGCCTAAAGGGATCAGACATTTGTTCTAATTACTTTGCTAATCATATTTTATAACCTTTTATAATTGCCTTCAAACTCATTCCACATGTTTTTGAATGACTTTAATGATGATAAATTGTCAAACTTAAAATTAGATTAGGACTAGGTATCTTGAAAAATTTACTGTAGCAGAAGACTTAGAGTGAGCAATAAAAATTTGAAAGAGAAATAGGTATAAAGGGTTAAAAGAGATTATAAAATAGGAGAGATTAAAGGAGAGGAAAGGGCAGAGAAGAGGAGAGAATACTGGGAGACAGAAATAACACTAAAGATTTTTCGAAAAGTCATATGGAAACCTATCGTAGAGCTTCTGTATACATACATAAAAAGACTTAAAAATGAAATCTCCCTTTTAGCAGGGCAACAGTATCCCTGCGAGACACCACAGGATAACAAAGAAGCCAATAGGGTTCTTGGTCAGTAAGATTCCAAAGACCTCCAAACATTATAGACTATTGCCAAGGCTGTTGGTTACTTTCTAGAACTTGAAGATATGATCCTGTTGCTGAAGACACCGCACACCCGAGTCATAGAAGATGGAGAAATTAAGCTTTTACTGATATAGAAGCTTCATTCTTACTGGATAGCTTTCATAGTGCTGGAAGGTGCTATGCACACCAATGGAAGCAAAAAGTAGTCATCAGTCTTATCCAGCTGTAGACCTTGTGAAATATAATAATGACTGGCTTCATAAGACATGCCCACCAGTGTAATAGTGGCACAAATGTCACAAGGAGTAACCAACCACTTTCCAGTTGGATTTAAAACCTGCACTATTATTGGATCAAGAATTTTAGGCTAGACAAGTCATAGACCATAGAAGAGAACTTATTACTATTATTCTGCTAAATGGACATAATATTCAATCAGTCCCTAATGATAATCAATATACCCATAAATTAATGGATCTCTCAACCTGCATCTGAGAAATTTTTGTTTGCAATAGATGGCCAAGGTGCAGAGAATAATAGAATTCAGAATGCCCAGCCTTAAAAGGTCATATCATCTTCCTTCCTTCCTTCCTTCCTTCCTTCCTTCCTTCCTTCCTTCCTTCCTTCCTTCCTTTTTTTCCTTCCTCCCTTCCTCCCTTCCTTCCTAGACTCAGGCATCATTGTGAAAGAGGGTAGAAAAGAGTGTAAGAGCCAGAAGTGGTCGATGAGGACAAGGAAATGTTATCTTCTGGACACAGTGGTATAGCTGTACATATAAACTCACAGCAGTAGTGACAGCATGAGCAAAGCCTGTGTAACCTCAAGCAGACCAATTTTCTGCATAGAGAGAGGAGCTGTGCACAGAGTCCTACTGATGAGCTATCGGTAATTGTCAGCTGCTGGGAGAAATGGGGTTATTTTTTTCTAACAATGTATTCACCATAACCTTGCTCTAGAGCATGGCCACATACCCAAGTATACTTGGGCAGTATAAATTGACTTCGGTAGGAGAAAAAAATGACACAAAGTTGGCTGAGTAGAGAAGGGGGATATATCTGGAATAAGTTGGAGGAGGGAGAGTGAACATGATCAAAAATCATTATAAAGAACTCTCAAAAAAGTAATAAAATACATAGAAACAGGTTCAACTTTATGAAATTACCATCTTCCTATATAATTTTCAGTTGAATACTGACAATTCCATGTGCTTCAACCCATGAAAAAGTTTAATAACAAAAATGTAAGAGGACTCTCCAAGTTGTCAAATACTGTTTATTTGGATTCTGATGCTACTTTGAGGGTGCTGAAGGGACTCAGCATAAAGATTGTCAAGCAGGTAAGAGTAGAGAAAGACTGGTTTGGGAAAGGCAGAAACAGAAAATGCACTACTCTTACAAAGCTAAGATTTTTTTTTAAATATTGTATTTTCTAGTACAAGATGGATGAGAAATATTATTTGCAAAGAGAAATGAAAATTATATTTGCTTAGGGTAGATAGAAAGTAATATTTAACCAGAAGGCTATTTTCAGTGGGTTTGAAATTTGAATTCTCAAAATCTCCAAGTTAAGAAATTCATGAACTTAAAATATAAAGTTAGCTTCTCTTGCTGCTTCTGAAAATGGGGGGACAGATTATGCTGGGTCAGTTGTCATTCAGATCACAAATAAACTTAGGATGAAATATTAAAAAGATGCTTCTGGCTGTAGATATAACTCAACAGATACAGTGCTTGCCTAGCTTGTACAAAAACCCGGCTTCAATCTCAAGGAGGAGATAAACTAGGCAGCATGGTGGCCCATGTCTATAATCCTAACATTTGGGAAGTAGAGGCAGGAAGATCAGGAGTTCATGGCATGTTTGAGGTCAGTCTAAAATACATGAGAGCCCTGCATCACAAAAACAAAGAGGGTGGTGTGAGGTTCCTGGAATAGTAGGTAGAAATTACAGTGAAGTCAATAAAATGAATAAAATTATATTTGGTTGGCTTCTAGGTTTTATTTGTTTTCTTTCAAGACTGACCATTATTTACTCACTATAAAGTAGCTAAAACTTAACAAAAATATAAAGATTTGTTAATAAAAAAAAATCAGAGAAGAACACGTGAGGTCACATAGAAACTGGAATTCAAGGGGAGGGAGCAATACTTGAAGTCTCCACAAAAGAGAGCCCCAGGTGCTGCTTCATAAGCCCTGGGTATCATTTATTCCTAACATAGCATACAACAACTGAGTAGAGACTTTGGCTACTCAGAATTAGGGCGACAGAGTTTGAAGCCAAAGACTAAAGCAAGGGCTGAAAGATGGCTCATGTCGCAAAAGTGCCTGCTACCAAGACTATCAACTTGAGTGAGAGTCAGCTCTCATGGAAACAGCCATGGTAGGAGAGGATTAGTCTGCTGACTTCCACACTTGCACCCCAGCATACACTAAATAAAATACAATGTTAAAAAATTTAAAACTAAATGAAAATAGTATTTATGGAATCATAACAGAATTGTGAGTCTTTTTGCATATACCATTGCCTCTAGTTCATAATTTTTAGGCGTACAAACAGGATAATGCCATCCATATTCAAAGGAAAATACAAATTCCTAGCAACAACTCCAAGGCTTTGCAGATGTTGTAATTAACTAACATGGACTCAAGCTGTTGTTAAGATGAGTAAGAAACACGCCACATTCAATCAGTTAAAATTTAAAAATCGAATAAAAGCAAAATAGAAAATATAGAACAGATGTAAAAAAATGAAAACAGCCTCCAGTCTTTATCATTACTACACCTTACATTAGAGACATTGATTGCAATGCCAGGCAGTGGTGCCACACGCCTTTAATCCCAGCACTCGGGAAGCAGACGCAGGTGGTTCTCTGTGAGTTCGAGGCCATCCTGGGCTCCAGAGTGAGTTCCAGGAAAGGCACAAAGCTACACAGAGAAACCCTGTCTTGGAAAACAAACAAACAAACAAACAAACAAACAAACAAACAAACAAACAGAGACACTGATTGCAGAGAAGAAACTGGACAGATGTGAAATGTGTCTTTCTGTCTGAGAATAGCTTACCAAATGATGTCATTAGTTTTTTTCCCCCCCTTAGAAATAATGAGATTTATTTACAGGACTTCTTGGTAAGGACATCACCGCAGCATTGTAATCGATGAGAAACCTCATATGAGAATTGTTTCATTTGTCACTAGGCACTAGATGAACCAGCCAGGACTGAAAGCAGCTCCAAGGCCAGCGTGTTAGATCTACCAGTGGAGGTAATGACTTCAGCTTGCCCTGCTTTGGTGTGCAGCCCCCAAACTCAATGCTAACCCCGTTCCTGGTTTCAATTCTTCCAGTTGTGTTTCCCTGCACAACTCAGGCAGCAAACTGAAGAGCTCTGTGCTACTATTGACAAGGTCTTGCAGGACTCCTTGTCTATGGTAATGCCGTAGAGTAGAATGAGCTGTTCAAACCTTTGCTTTGCTTTTCTTCATTTCCCTCTGTCTTGCCATGATGCCTCATAGGCTTGTTCTTCCCTTTCCTTTTGTTCTTCTCTTTTCCAGCATTCTTCTGATTCTCCTTCACGGCCCCCACAGAAAATGTTGGGTTCTGAAACCATCAAAGTATGTATATATTTATTATGGTTTACTGCCCCATTCCATTTCCTGCACAGATGATTTCAAACTGTGTTTCAAGGCTCAGTAGTAATTCGAGAAGCCAACTCAATAACTAGTAACTTGGCTACAAAAGTAGAGTGTAGTGTTGAATTTTGCTTCTGTTTGTTTACATGTATACACATAGGTCAGTCTGCACTGTAAAGTTATTTTTAGCTGTCTATCAATTTCAAATGGTGTGAAAACCAATATTTGTAAAGCCACAAAATTTGGCATTTTGTAGATTTACACGTCAAGTTTGTAGCTTATATTAATCTTGGACCACAGCTTCAGTATCAATGTAATTTATGTACACTTAAAAGTGTAGAATTGGGATATGAAGTTGACTAAAGCAACACTCTAGTGGCTTTCACATGGCTGTTAATTCTTCAGTTCTTTCCTTCTTACTGATTGAATTGATTTCACTGCTCTGTGACTTAAAGAAGTAGAAATTTGGAGACATTAGCCTGTCAGAGTTGTTCTATATGTTTGTTTCTTTCTCATAAAGTAGCTGTTTTCTATCGCTAGGACAAAGAATAGAGTTCAATAGTTTTATTAACTTTCCATGCTTAATGTAGCTCTACTCATCCCAATTTCAACATGCATTTTGTTTTTCCTTTATGTGTACCAAAATATTTTTTTTAATCATTTTCAGCCTTGTTTTCTTTCTTTCAATGACTACAAATACTTTTGGCATCAACTGGTTACCATGGGACATTGTGTACTTGAAGCAGGTTTTGAATGTACAAATGCTCATGATTTAAAAGAGTAGTCCTTATTTTCAGTTGCAACATTACAGACAAATATGAATCACTAATAGGCTTACTTATTGACCTTGCTGTTATGACATCAGAGTTTCATAAGTAATCTGGACACCACCCCTTGTCAGATACTATGGAAATAATTTCTGCTATTTGGTGTGTGTGTGTGTGTGTGTGTGTGTGTGTGTGTGTGTGTGTGTGTATGTGTGTGGTATTGGCAGTTACCTTTGTTTCAAGTATTTATAATGTGCCTACTATGGGCTTGGGCTTTGTGGCCTAGAAAGATAAAGACAATCCAGGTGGAAATCCTAAGGAGATTACTACAGATGTAAAAGAAGAGATAGAATTTACTCAGATCCATACATGGAATGGGGTTAGAAAGCCCACTGATAATACCTCCAGACAAAGGCATAATAATGTATGAATTTCCTGAGGCAACATAACTTGTTTCTGTGAAGATGTTGAAAAAGTCAGTGCATTTGAAGTTTAGTGAACTTATAAAATTAGTGTGAGAGTATATTTGTCATGGTATGAAATTTTGATCTCAAGGAAAATAGGACACAAAAATGATCATTCTGGCTGTGGGGAAGAGAATTCTGAGGAAGCTATGAGTACAGTTACTGATGGTGGACCAGAAAGGTGGGTTCAAAGGAGCCATAAGTAAGCAAATGGGTTGGGGTTTGATGACATTCAGATATGAGCAATAAAGGAGAGGAGTCATGAATGAGCCCTTCATCTTTCATACCCACGGCAGATGACAGTGAAGTAGATACAGCATAATGGAAAGGAGAGAGTGTGGGAATTTAGATAGTGTTCATATTTGAATTGTATGAATGGAGTCATTGAGTTTGCAGCTAATGGAAGAGATGTGGGCATCGCATACTGTGAGCCTGTACAGAATTCTAAGGAACAAGACGTTACAGGTTAGTAGAGGTGGAACCAGGGAAGCATAGTGAAAGGTTATGTTAAGAGGGGAATCAGAGAAGTGTGTTATGAAAGCTGTTAAGAGTGTTAAGAGACTAGAGTTGTTTATTGATACCAAAGAGGTAGGAAAACAGGAAATCTAGAAGAGACTTTATGAGATTTGACTTGTGTATTTTGAAACTATATTACTGATGCTTATAGGTAAATCATTCTTAAATCTAAAATTTTACAACTTTGGTAGAATATACCCTTTTTGAAAGGTTTTCTTATGTGCTAAAGTAACCTTATATTTATAATTTTAAAATGGGGTTTCTTCCATGTTTCTTCTTCTAGATTTTTATCTTTTAACTTTTTCTATACCTTTGCCCAGTTTTCTTCAGGCTCACACATTTTCATATATCACTCTCTATTCAGTGTAAGATTCTGTTTATTTGGGAATTTAAGTCACTTATAGTTATTGTAATATTTGTTATATCAGTACTCACTTCTGTTAATATTAATTAATATTTTCAACTTAGATCTTTTTGTCCTGTTTGGTATTTTGATTAATTTTTACTTCCCTTTTGGTAACTTGACATTTATTAATTTGAAATTGGAAAAAATTTAGTTTGAAAATTTTACATTATATTTTCTTAATTTTGTGGTTGCCCCCACACATTAAGAAGAGTGATTGTTGAGTTTATGTAAAGCTCATAAATGTTATTTTCAATATTATATAAAATAGTGATTTTCAAATTTTACTTGTTTTTCACCAAACCAAAACCACAGATACACACTATTTTTTAATATATTTTGGGATTGTATTTTAAAGTTTTTCTAAATTTCTTCATTTAGAGTTTAAAAATTTCTTCTTTATTTAGATCTTTCATTATCATTTGTTCATATACTCATTTTTATTTTTTGTAATTGTGCTGATCATTGCTTCAACTGAATCTCTTTGTGTATATTTTGTGAGCTTCATCTATGATAAAAATCTTCATTTTGTTCTTTCACTTAAGCTTGGTTCCTGGGCCGATAAGATGGCTCAGGAAGAAAAGACACTGTCCCCCAAGTCTGACAGCCCGAGTTCTACCTGCTGGACACAGATGATGGAAGGAAAGGTCATTTGACCTCCGTGTGTGTGCTGTGCCCCACCCCACACACTATCAGTCAATCAACACTGTAATTAAAATTATAGTTTTGCTAAAAAATAGGATAATGGGTCTTCTCTTTGACCTCTGTCTGTTTATATTTTCTTTCTCATACTTATAAATATTTTGTCACACCATGATATTTGTATCTGCTCGAGAGTGACCATTTTCAATCTGACTCTGTAAACACTTTGAATATTGACTCTAGATATGACATTACTAATTTTTCTTATAGGTGTCTACGAGTGCTTTTTTTTTTTTTTTTTTTTTTTTTTTGGTTTTTCGAGACAGGGTTTCTCTGTATAGCTTTGCGCCTTTCCTGGAACTCACTTGGTAGCCCAGGCTGGCCTCGAACTCACAGAGATCCGCCTGCCTCTGCCTCCCGAGTGCTGGGATTAAAGGCGTGCGCCACCACCGCCCAGCCGTACGAGTGCTTTTTATTTTTATGTATTTCTACTGTTACTATCTATGGCCTCTCATCTAGAGTCTTTAGACTTCTCCCCTAAATTCTGTAGATAATTTTTCTGTAGGTGTACCTGATACCTAGAATAGCAATAATAACTCCCAATACTAGGATTTGTCAACATTGTCAAGGTTTCCTCATTATTTTCAGAATAAGAGGAATGTCTACCCCAGAATCTAGATGGTTCCCATTGTAAATGCTGTGCATAGTGAGGACCCTGACCCTCCTTCTCCTCCCCTGTACCTCTGTTTACATCTCTTTTTCTGGTCATTGCCCTGGTTGTCATCACTGAGGTAGAATTCAGCAGAGGAATAGCAGAAGCTGTCAGTCTATGCGACCATGTAATAAGCTGCTTCCTTTTCCGCAGCCATCACAAAAGAGCATAAGACACAGTTTACTCCCTAACTATGCTCCTTTGCTTGCCTTGTCCCTTATGATGCAAAAAACTGTAAGACAGCAGAGACAAAATATCTAAATGTCAACAGTTAAAAAAAGCCATCGGATAAAATATGTGCCATTATTTTGAAAAAAGATAAAGCAAATTGTTAGTAATGGGATCAAGGAAGATATTTTTGTTTGATATTTGAGGCTTGGAATGACAAGATCACATTCTTGTACTGGTGGGTCTTGTGTTAGATGAATGTGAGGTGCTGGCTATACAAAAGAATAGAAATACTGCAGAAAAATTCCATCTACAATCAGATCTTTATTAAAAAAGAAATGTGTTTGGTTGGACTCCCTTCTGTAGCATGAATCTTAAAAGTTCTTATTAATGCAAACAAACATGGGGCAGGTATTGGGGTGAACCCTGGAAGATCAGAGAAGCAGAACAAGCCACAGCTACCTCACATTGCCAATTCCTCAGCTAATCCTGTTTCCTCAGACTGGAAGCCTCTAAGTCCTCATCCAGAATGAATCTCAGCTCAACTGCTGCTCGAAAGCCTGAAAGCTTAACCAGCCAAATGATTCTAGTTTCTGGTCTCCATGCCTTATATATCTTTCTGTTTTTGCCATCACTCCCTGGGATTAAAGGCTCACTTCTTGGGATTAAAGGCGTATGTCACCATGCCTGGCTGTTTCCAATGTGGCCTTGAACTCACAGAGATCCAGAGGGATTTCTGCCTCTGGAGTACTAGGATTAAAGTTGTGTGTTACCACTGCCTATCCTCTATATTAAATATTGTTGCTGTCCTGTTCTCTGACCCCAGATAAGTTTAGTAGGTGCACAATATTTTGGGGAACACAATACCACCACATTCTCCCCCAAGAATTAATAAATAGAAGTAATCACTGATGTGGTGTTATAATGTGGGGCTTTTAAAGTGTGACTAGGTCATAGGGATTGGGTCTTAATTGATGGGATTATGAAAAAGACCAGAGAGAAACTTCTTACCTCTTCTACCATGTGAGGAAACAAGAATTTTTAATATGTGAATGAGAAAACAGGACCTTACCATACAATGAACCTATCTAAGCCTGTTCACCCTCTAGAACTAAGAAAATTAAATATCTGATGTTTACAAACTACCCTGTCCATTGCATTTTGTATAAGACAATCAGACATTATTCTTTGATAAGAAAGAGAGAATGGCTTTCACTGTAGTAGAACAGAAAATAGAAGTCACAAGTCCAGATGTAAGGATGGTTATGTTGAGGCTGAGAAAATAATTTCCCGAACAATGTTCTTATTTCACAACAAACACCTTTCAATGGAGTAAGTTTAAGATGAAAAATAAGCACCATATTTTACCAGTTCCTTCTCTGCCTTATTATTTCTTGTTCTCGTCTGCTTGCTCATCTGCCTTTCCCAACTGACCAATGTAGGGGGTGCATAGAGGTCAGTCCCTAGATTTCTCATCCATTAGTATTGTCACCCAGCCTTGCAAAATCACATACATGTTGACAGCTTCAAATGTATGCCTCTGGTCCAGTATTCTTTCCAGTTTCAGATTCCTATTTAATCTTCATTCCATTTCAGAGTTAGAAAATCTTTCAAGCTCAGCACAGATGAAGATGGAGTCAAGACTTTTTTCTACCAAGTGATCACACCCACCACTTTCCCACATTTATTGATAGCAGTCTTTCATTTGCTTTAGTCCATAAACTTTGCATGAAATTTTTCTCTTAATATTGTGTTCAACACCTTTTTTTTCACTATCGTTTCAAAACACCTGTAGAATGTCATTATTTCATAGCCTCTGTACTATTAAACAATGGTCATATTTTGCTGGCCAGCACAGTAGCATAGCTGTCATGTTACTACATCACTCTACTCTGTTCTTAACATGCCACACAGAAATACTGTTAAAGGATTCCTTTATGACTATTGTTTAAAACCTACATATTTCCCCAGAGTAATATGAAGTCAAAGTCCTCATAAGATGCTTTATTATCAGGTCTCTGAACATTGTCATGATGGACCCTTCCCTGGCATTCTCTACTCTGGCACTCTCTACTCTGTATTGAGCCCTGGCAGCCTCCAACTATGTCTTGAATGCCCTAAACATGCTACCACTTAGTGTATTTAGTTATCTGATTCCAGAGCTTGTAGTGTGAACAATCAAGACTAACCATGATGAAGAGCAAGTTTTGGGTCACCCTTCAGGCTTAAATCTGTTCCTGGCAAATGTTCTAACCTCAGAAAGTAGACTTAAGAGAACAAATATTGGGGGATTACCAAGGCACATGGAGTGGGCACAGGTGAAGCTGATGGCTATTTCTTTAACACAAAATCAAGGTGTGGTTTAGAGTTTCCACAGAAACATTTTACTTCTCAGGTGCAAGTGTGAGATAAGTGGGTCAGAGAGACCATGTAGGGCTTCTGTTCTTGTTTGACAAGTGAATTTGACAAGAGAGGGAGGCAAGAGAAATGGAAATATTAACCACAAGACTATGAAATAGATGGAAGTGGAGAACTTGAACAGAATCAAGTTAATAATTTAGAAATACCACTGTAGCATAGCTGATAACAGAGGTATTAGAGACATGAAAATATGGGTAAAGAGGTAGAATTTTGAGAGAGGGACATTTGAAGTTGAAATTTCAGAGAGCTTTCATGTTATTCTTGGAGGTAAAGTTGGGTTTGGTCAATAAATGATTGAAATGGGATGAATGTCTTTGGGTGTAAGGGGCTAAAGAACAGACAGAATAGAAATTTCTAATGAAGTCTGAGACAGCCAAAACTATAGAAGAAATGTGATGAGGAACTATAGGACTCATGGCTAACATTATCAATATATAAGAAGAAATTGCCAGAGTTTTGACAATGAAGGGGTACTAACTTTATAAAGCAAATTTTGAAGATAAATAAAATTTTGTATAGATCAGTAAGAGTCATGGTTAGAAAGAATCAGTAGAGAAAAAGATTTATTCCTGTCTTAAATTCTGAACCTTTCATTATTCACTAGTTAGTGAGATGCATAATTCTTTTTATTTTCATGCAGACTCCTACAACTCATCCAAGAGCAGCTGGTCGAGAAACCAAATACGTAAGTATCTTTCTAACTATGCTTGCTACTTTTTCAATGGAGTCCCGTACATATTTTAAAGAGCACTCAGCTCTACAGAAATTATAATGGAATTTATTCATTTTTTTCATAAATCGAAAGGTGTACGATGCTATGATTGTCCCAAGCATAGGAAATTAGATTATGTCAGGTGTACAGCATCAAGTAACCTTATCAACTGAATTCCTTCTTAAATGAATTATTGTTTAATCCCCTTAGATAAACAAAACATAACTGTATTACCTGAGTTTTGTACCCCCACTTATTAAAGCTCAGATGGCATTTATTTTCATAAGCACTGCTTGAGCTTAAAAAGTAGTGAATTCGTGTCCATGACACATTGAGGTTAGTCCACATCCAAAGGAATCACCAGTTTAATTGAATGACCAGTTTGTTGCTTTTCTGTGTTTAAATTATCAAGTAATTTAGTGTCTGTTTATGAGAAAAACTAAACCATAGAGCTGGAGAGATGCATTAGTGGGGTGAGAGCACTGGCTGCTCTTGCAGAAAACCCAGGTGCATTTTCCAGCACACGCCTGGTAGCTCACAACTGGCTGTAACTCCAGTTCCAAGGGATCTGGTGCTTTCTTTCTTTCTTTTTTTATTTTTTTGGCCTCTGGCAGGCAACAAGCACTCACACAGGGCACATACATACAGTCAAACATGCATATGTAAATATACAAGTCTTAGAAAAGAACACTACACCAACAGATATGTAGAAATGAACTCCCATGCTTAATTCAAATGATGTTGGGTTGGCTTAGAATGCGATGTACACGGAACCTTATCCACTTTGCACAATCATGTCATGATTGTGGTCCTCATCTGCTCTGCACAGAAGTATTTAACTACAAATGAGACAGTTTCCTAGCATGCATTGAGCATTTAATCTAAAATAAACCACTAAACTACTCCTTTTACAGCACACGCTGTTTTCTCAAATCTGTACTCTTCATCATTATCAAGCATAAATAGTTATTAAATGTGTATTGCGCACCATGCCAACATCACACTTCACACCTTTCTGCCTTCGTTTGGATCTCTCTAAGGTAAACAATAAGCTCAGTGAAATTATTAAATTTTATCATATTCGGGAAATGATGTTTACAGGATGTGGCAGGAACATGTTTCAGAGCATTTCCTGGAAGTGTTTTCTGTTAGTTTCCATTATTATTGGAAGTCCTTTGGAGGAGACACTGGTAGGCTAGACCTTGGTGGGAACTGTTGCTCCTGGGGAAGAATCACTTACTTTATTTTACCAGGCCTCCATTTTCATCCATAAGATAGGGGATAGTAATAGCGTTCCCATTTGATTAATGTAAGGTTTATAGGGTCCTTATGTGAAAAGCCCTCAGAACAGCCTTAACACACTGGAGTTATTCATAAATCATAGTCCCCCTCTTTCTTCCCCCTTCATGTTTGCATTTATCCACACCTCCTTCCTTCCCTTGCACTCATTTAGTGTTAGAAGACTAGAAGCCTCATGATTTGGATTTTTTGATTCTTTAGTTGGGCAAAAAGAAAAATCTCTGTCTCTGTCTCTGTCTCTGTCTCTGTCTCTGTCTCTGTCTCTCTCTCTCTACACACACACACACACACGCACACACACGCACGCACACACACACACACACACACGTGTGCGTGCGTGTGCGTGCGCGCGTGTGTGTGTGACATGGATTTTGTGATCATAAGGACTGGTCCCCAAAATAAGCACCCCAAATCCTTTCTTCACTACCCTTTCTCATTAGTTGCTGAAATTTCATGAAATGGTCCTGATTAGACCACCTTACAGGCATGTTTGGCAGCTGCTAGCATCTAGCTAACCCTCCTACGGGAATTGTCTTAATTTGTATATTTTTTTAAACGTGTGTGTCTGTAGTGCCTGCCTTTGTGTGGGTGCGGAGACCAGAGGTTGAAATCATGAGTTTCCTCAGTCACTTTCCACTTTAATTACCAAAGCAGAGACTCCCACTTGAACTGGGAGCTTGACACTTTAGCTAGTGTAGGTAGCTGGCTGGATCCAGGATCGCTAGTCTCTGTCTCCTGAGTGCTGAGGTAATTGGTGGCTTGCCATGCCCAGTGAAGGTACAGGTAAGGCCTGGGGGCTTCAGGTTTTCACAGTAATCCTTTTACTCAGTAAGTCATCTACCCAGGCTCTTAAAATCTAATCAAAGGAGGTTATTTTTCCTCTCGATAGCTTGTGAGAGCCGTTGAGTAATTTTAAGTTAGCTGTGAATCATTGAACAAATTCAGGATTAGATTAGAACAAACATAACTTTGATTCTACTAAGATTCTTGACCTTAATTAAAGTTTGTTTCTTGAGCAAGAAGCTCTGCCTTTTACTTTCTTTTAAAATATAACATTAAATTGTGTGTGGCATCTCAAATATGTCCGTGTCTTTGGAAGATATGTCTTTTGGAAGAGGACATCTTATGATGGTAGATAAATCCGGTTCTTTGGTGTCAACTTATAGATAACTCACACTTACCAACACATGGCTGTAGTTACCATAATTACTAAGTGACAGCTGATGCATTTACTCTGAGAGGAAAATAACACAATTTTAGGACAGAAGTTCAGTTTAGCTTTAGGCTGTCCTCTTACATCAGCCATCTGTCTTAAATGCAATATATTCAGACTAAAAATGAATAAGGCAGTAATTCATTTTTGAAATTCTAATATAATTGGTAAAACAATGATGTTTTATTAAAGTACAAATTGAATAGTTTTTACTTTATTAATTTCTTGTTTTAATTTTCTCTCATGTCCTGTCACAGTAACTTTGAGAATCTGTAGACTAACATTTTAGAATTTCACTCTCTTGGGAAAATTAGGCACATTCATGATAATATACATGCCTACATTCCAGGTTTCATTAACTTTGAAGAGAGTCCTAGATTTGGTTCAAAAGCAAGGGCCATGCAGTTCACCCTCTGTGTACTACAGAGGGGGCAGAATAAGGGAAAGATGAAAGTCAGAAAGAGAACTGTATTGTACTTGAGGATGTTCTGAACACGTTAGCACCAAACACAATAGGTCCCTGGTTTCAAATATAATCCAGGGATCATTAGTAGTGGAAAAACTAGTAGTATTTCCTAACTCTGTTGTCCAATTTCCACTTTTCTTCATTGATCTGACAAATATTTATTGGACATCTATCATGTACAAATTATTGAGGGGTCACTGGGGTGAGTGAAGTGAACACAATAGCAAGGTTCCTCGCTTCTGAGATGTAAATGTCAACAGAGGGCATAGAAGTAACTAAAATACCAGATGAGTGATCCACTTTCTTATGGAGATAGGGAAGAAATGGCCAGAGAATGGAATGATACTAAAAGAGACGACAGAGTGGGCACTTCCTGCTGTATTCACATGTTAGTATGCTCATGGGATTTTCACCTTTTCTGTGGTGATTGTAACAGGTTAATTAAGTAACCAGGGGTTTTGTGAATAATTGTTCTGTGTGGGTCTTGTGTGGAAGGTTGTCCTCAGAAAGAGAGAAAGAAAAGTGGTGAAGAACAAGAGGAGAAGGGAGAAAGAGACAGAGGGGAGGGAAGACAGAAGGAAGGAAATAAGATAAAGGAGTGAAGGGAAGAAAGGAGTCGTATCAGTAGACAATAATGTTCCTTCGGTCCTGGCTAAATGTCTGACTATCGTTTACAGTCTGTTTTAGGATCAGTCTGGATCAATAAAATGCTCATTTTGTTTAGATTAATTAAAGTTTAATTATTGCTTCTCCCACGGTATGCTTGAATTAAAGGCTATTTTAAAGTAATTTAGCAGAGATATTCTTAAGCACAATAGAAGCAAAATAGGACTAACAACATATTGAAATGTACCATTAGGCCTTTTGTACAATTGAATAGATCAGTTTATCAACAATATTTCATTAAGCTTTTAAACAGACACTAAATTCAGCAATAATAGCTAGCAGCATATAAACTTTAATTGGTTCATTTAAACCATCCATGAGTCCTGTGAGGTCAACATTTCCAGCCACCCCCTTTTCTTATTCTATTGCTGGGAATTGAACCCAGGCACTTATATATGGTAGGTCACTACTCTACCACAGAGCTGCATCCCAGCCTTCCTTCTGAGACAGTTTTTTTTCCTCTGTGTGAAATAATAATTTTTATATTAAAATACTATTTTAGTTTTCATTCAGTCTCTTGGATTTGGAAGAAAAAAATTTTCTCTGCTTGCATTTGCCTTTATTATTTTTATGAACTGTCACCCATATAAATCTATTTCAGTCATGTAATTTAAAAATCACAGCATGCGTTCTTAGTAAAATTCAATCTTAGAAAATGGAATATTTGTGCTTCTAACGAATTTATCAGAAGCCCTTGGTTTTGTAGTAAGGTTCTATTTGATAATAACTAATTTCATGAACTTTTAACATTTCATGGATTACTTTTAAGTTCCATAAAAAAATGGTACAGCCTTATTAAATATATGATAGTTTATAGGTAAAAATCTCATTTTAATGAGCTCAAGGAACAGAAAATGTCATTACCGTGGAAGAATATTGATTCCTAAATATCACAATATATTGAAAAATGTGTCAAACCTTACTAAGAATATTTTCCACTTTATACACAGATATTCAAAGAAAGGTCATCTTCTCTCATTTATGCAGCTCACGTATTCTTCTTGTTGCTATGCTTGGAGGTGTTGCTATGCTTGGAGGGACCCAGGTGCTGCTCAGTACCAGGCATAGATTTTGGGGAAACGGAGACTTAAATCCCACTTGGGGTCCAGATCTGCTTCCAGAGACCGAGGTCAGAGGTTGATGAGTTACTGGAAGAGTGCACACAATGAAGGCAGGAAATTCCACCCTCCCAATTACTTCCATGTGTTCTTCTTCCTGTTCAGATGAGCTTCTAGAGTGCATTTGTGTGGGAAAAGGGCTGAAGGGGGAGTGGAAGTTACCATCAGGCTCTGCTCCACTAGAATGGAGAGGACACAACAGGTTTCCTATGTCTTCTATTCATGAGAAGATATAATTTTATGTAATTTTAAGGTTTCTCCAATATGGGTTCTGAGGAAGTGGAGCTCCAGACAGCAAGAAGGGGCCTGGTGGCACTTTATGATTTTGGTAGTATGTCTTTGGAAAAAAAAATTAGTTTCTCCAAGGCTGGCTGGCATAGCTGGGGACCTCTATGGTCATTTGTCTTTCAGATAGTCACATCTTCACTTTGTAGTCTCCGCACTTTGAGTCCCTGAATAACCTAATTGTAAGAAAGGAATGGTTGTACATATTTCTGTTGTCAGCACTTAGAGGCTGAGGCTGCAATTCATGAGATTGAGCCCACTTTGAGCCCTATAAAACACACAAACAACATCCCCCCCAAACATAACCAACCAAAAAATACAACTAACAGAATTTCTTTGACGTTACAAATGTAACTTTACTGAAAATGTGCTCTACTCTTTTAAACAAATTTATACTTTTTGATTGACAAATACTTTTATATTCATGGAAAAACTGTGATGTCTCATCTGTGCATACATTATAAAGACTTTGATCAAATTAATCAATATATGTATTATATTTTTTGTATGTGATAAGAATTTGAAAAGTAGCCGGGCGTTGGTGGCGCACGCCTTTAATCCCAGCACTCGGGAGGCAGAGCCAGGTGGACTTTGTGAGTTCGAGGCCAGCCTGGGCTACCAAGTGAGCTCCAGGAAAGGCGCAAAGCTACACGGAGAAACCCTGTCTCGAAAAACCAAAAAAAAAAAAAAAAAAAAAAGAATTTGAAAAGTAGTCTTTAGTAGTTTTGAAGAACATGTTATTTGGTGCAGTTGGTGACTCACACTCTCAGCCTGAATGAAGTTTCATGTAGCCTTCCTTTAGCATCATCTTTTTTTTTTTTTGAGAGCCTAATCAGTTTATTTATCAAAGCAGACACTGCAAAGAGAGGAATGGGCTGATCCATGGCATGGAGGTTCTGTGTTATGTATTTTAAAGAACTTTTGCAAATATTTATGAGATGGGTGGCACACTCCTGGGGAAAGGTGACCCCTTTATCTTTCCTAAATCATGACATATCATATCTTCCTGTTGGGGCATTGCTTCCTATGATTCCCTAAAAAGGGAGGGGTAAAAACCACAGTACAATTAATATTATGATATCCCGGAAGGGTTTTGAGGATACAGACTGCTTGCCATTGCATATATATGGGAGAATACCACGGTTTCTGATATGGTGTGGAAATCTATCTTCATGTTCAAGGTTATTTAACAAAATGTCATTCTGACTAGCAGAAAACACAGTGACCAAGAGGCAACTGCAGTTTTCCTGATACCTTGTATCTAACTCCATGCTTACCTGGTATCAGCCAAACACAGAACCAGCTGGCCCTGTAACCTTGGACTTCCCGGCCTCTAGAACTGTGAGGAATGAATGTCTATTCTATATGAATTCCCCAATCTAAGGTGTTTTGTTATGGTACCATAGACTACAACCTTTTATCTTCCCTCTGCTGGGCCCACCCCTGTCATCCCTAGCCTCCAGGCACATCACTGTGAAGTGCATAACACTATTAGGAAAAGTATAAAATACTAACTAGTTGCAAAGATCTGATCACCAGACAAAAGGAGTGAAATACAGGAACCAATGACAAAGAGATAATATTAACAAGAATTTCTAAAGAATTTTTGAAGCAAATTATTTCCATTCCCAATTCTGGGGATTCCTGTTACAGTATTCTCTTAATATAAATCTGTTTTGAGAAAAATCTGCATTGTTTTTTTTTATTTTGTTGTAAGTGAACATAAATATCAACAACAGTCTAAAATTTAAATAAAATATGGATTGAACAAACAGACGATACTATCTAACCTTGAAGAATCATTGATATCATGTGGTAGTGCTTATATTATTAAGACAAGAAGAAAAGCAGTATCTACCCTACTATGCGAACTAAAATGTGCAGGCTGTGTGCCACATTGCTCAAAAGAACCATTTCTTGGTGCCATGCTTTTTCTCTATAATTTCACTAATATCCATCGTATTTCTATTTTCAGGCAAATCTTTTATCATCATCTTCTACAGCGTCTGAAAGTCAGCTGGTATGTATCTTCTTCTAAGTTGTTTACCTCCTTTGAACAGTCTTATTTCTCAAGACAACTTCTGCTGAAAGAAAGTGAAGAGATAATAAGTTTGCTCACTTGCCTAACAAAATGTATTGATGGTTCAGTGAAGTCACACGATGGCTGCTTTTTAGGTGACTAATACATAAAAAAATTTATAAACCAAGACTACCACTAACTCTGAGCAGTGGTATTACAAGAGATTGAATTGAGTCAGAAGAAAATGCAATTTGAATTTGCAAAGGAGATCACTTCCTGATAAGAGGGATCCGAGAATAGGTCAAGGAGATCAAAACAGATAATATGGGGGTAGCTTCTGGATGTGTGGGGATGAAGGAGACTGTCTCCTTTGGAAATTCAACAGAACAACCAGAATCTTCAATCATTCACTACCCAGCCCCTCCAAAATAAATCAATGCTTTCTGACTCAGAGAATGAAGCAATAGCCATAGAAACAAACATTGCAGTTATGTAATAAAGTTGACTAGTTCCCACTTTAGATCTGGAAATATTATAATTCTTTTAATTTTAAAAATAATTCCTACTTGTTTCTTGAGAGCAATGTTTGGGAGTCAAGAGTGGTTGATCATGCTCATGTAGAAATTCATTCACCACAACATACAAAAGGTATATTTTTAGATGTTGATTGATAAAATGCATGCTTGTGGATTGTATGCTATATACATGATATTAAAAATTCTATTTCAAAGGAATACTTGAAAATATACATACATTTAAGTATCAGTTTTATAGAATGAGGTATATCACAAACAAGTTATAAATACAGTAAAACCCACTTAAATATCTATTAAAATATCCTGTGTTTCTGTGTTTGTGTTCTCTAAGAGATATGAATAATATTACTTTGACTTAATGAGGATGTCTTTGCATTTAATTTAGACCAGTTCTTTAAGGAGTCCAAAGCATGTCTTAACTAAGTTTTAATTTGAGATTTCTTCTGAGGTATAGATGCATTTATGAAGATGTTACAATCAAGAAAATCACAAAAAGTATTGGACTGATATAATCATTTAGTCAAATCATTTTGATTTCACCTTGTGACATTTATCCTATATTTAAGATTGCCCAAAACAGATTAAACCAGAAAGGAAATATTACATATAGTATCTTATTCTTCAGTGACATTATATCTGATTATAATTTTTTCATTTCCATGAAAATGTTACCATCATATTCCATGATCAACACTCTTGGGGTTCACTTTAGAAAATGGGAATACATAGGAACAATTTTGAAAAATAAAACCACTGTAATCACACACACACACACACACACACACACACACACACACACACGAGTCAATATTTATATGAATTTATAATGCATATGTATTGATAATATAACTGATATAACAGGCATATATGTCTGTCTATATGTGAATACATGTAAGTGTGTCTAGCACATAATAAATATTAGAAAATAATATATGTTAGATTTAAATTATATGAATAAATGTATCACTTTGGAATAAAATAAGCAGTTACTGTGACAATTATTTGAATCAAGTATAGGACAGAAATATTGTAAGCTTATATAAGTGAAAATATGCGACAAATTGTTATGCTGGCACAAGTTTAATATCAATCTCAAATGTAGAGATTTGACTGTTGAATGATAAAGTAATTTTGAGCTTTAAATAATTTTCAACATGACCGACCTACTTGCTTGTTGTCGTTACAAGTATGCATCTCCAAAGAGTCGTGACTTCAGCTCTTAAAATATTTGCATTCTGGATTTAGGGTCTAGCTCAATGATGAAGTACTTGTCTAGCATCCTTGAGACTCATGTTCAATCCCAAGCATTTCAAAACACAGACAGTGTGTGTTTGTGTGTGTGTGTGTGTGTGTGTGTGTGTGTGTGTGTGTGTGTGTGCCCATGCACACATATTATGTATGTTGTTTCCATTGTTTTTTTCTAGGAGCCAAATGATGTAATACTGAACTTGAGAAACTATTTTGGTACTCTGATGAGGCTCACCCACTGTATTAGCTTCTCCTCTTTTAATCACCAATATGGTAGTTAACAACTGGAAAGGAATCTCTTACTCTAAGTGGAGGTTGGAATAAGGACTGTGCCAGCCTGAAGGGATTTTTACAAGACTCATATAGCACCACAAGCTGTTTTCGATATGGTCCTGTAGAAAATGAAGATATTATGATTGCACTCCAAAGCCCTAGATTATCAAAAGATATGAGAAGCCATTTTTATAGGCTGCAAGAGTCTAATTAGATCATCTAAGGTCATAGCATTAATGTTTATCCTTGTGTGCGGGTTTTCAAAAGGAATTGTTGTTATTGATTTTTAATAGTTCATGAGGCTTAAGAAACCTCTGTTGAGTATATTAGAAAATTGGCCTCTGGAGAACTCTTATCTCCATTGACCACCTGCGTGGTCTGGCTCCTCCTGAAGTTTTGCGTTGTCTGCTAAATATGAGAACTTAATGAGAAGGTGCAGGCAGGGTGAGGGCAGATTGAGCAGGGGCATCTGGGACCCTGGAGCAAACTGCATAGTGCTTCCTGTAGCATATCAAAAGGAAACAAGAGGAAATCGTTGGCTGTCAGTTTGAAGCTTGGGTGAAGCTTTCCTAATTCTGGAACTGGACCATCTCAGTGTTAACAAAGATGGGCATGTCCTTTATTCTCTGCTTGGGAAACAGTTTAGTTTGGACAAGATGGGTAAGATCTGTTTATTTGTTTATTGATTTTTGTTTTATGAGGGGAGCCTAGGTGAGATGACAGCTGGCTCTTTTGCTGTTGGAAGTCCATGTCATTGCAAACCATTCAGTGTTGTTCAGGATGGGCTGCTGAATCTGCAGAGCAGACCGCAAGAGGTTTAGAAAATAAGCCACATGGCCCCATAGAAGTAAGAGCAAATGCAGCTTACTGGAATGGAATAAAGAAGAGCCTTAAGCCGGCAGTGGCTTTGTCTCTGGTTCCGAGTGCCAGCTGTTGTACCCTGCTTTACTGGGCATGACTCAGCTTTCTGAGGGCCTTTAAATCCCTGTTGTTTAGAAAGGCTTTTTGTGTAGAACTGATGTCTTCTTTAAACTCAAAGACAGTTTCTCCTTGACCAGTTTTCTTTGACACAGCACACTTAGGAGCTACAGCATTCATCATGTACGCCTCCTGAGCTGTGACTCATGTTATTGTCTTTTCTTTTCCATCAGAATAGTTCAATCTGTATTGTGTATAGTCCACAAAACAGTGCTTGAGCCACGGGATGTGCTTTATAATTACTGAAGCCCGTGTTTAGTTTTATACAGTTGTTATGGTAGTTATAAAACTTTGAAAAAAAAAATCCAGGAAGTAGATGTTTTCATGATTTGTCTAGATTATTTACAGTTGACAGTCTATATAAATTCAAAATTCTCTTTTTTTTTCTTTACAAAATTCTGTCATGTTTCTCATTCATTAAACTCCCATAATTACCTTGTGCCATCTCAGTGGTCCCATAGCTTAAAAATGAACTGCTTTTCATTCTCAGGAGGTTTACCATATACTGGAAGATTTTGAGATCTGATATATTTATTTGAAAGGAAAATGAGCATAAGTATAAGATTCAAGTACATAATATTGCTGATGGGGTAGAAGCAGTTATCATTCACTGAATGAATGAGTGAATTGTTACATAAATAAATTAGACAATGCTTCTTTTATCTACAATTTTATATTGTAGATAATTGTGGAGTCCTACTTTTTGCTACAAAGTATCTAAGGAAAAAAATCAACTTCTGAATGGAGAGAAGACAGAAGCAAACAGAAACAAGTAACAATCAGGTCACTTTAAAAATATTTTTATCCATCAAATCAGTTGAGGTTCTAGCAGGTCCACAGTGTTTTCTATGTGCTATATCATTCCTATTTACTGTTGTGTAAATCTTATGATTCAAAAACATGAGCTAACAGACTTGAAAACTGGGTCCCTTTTGTGTTTTTTTGTTCCCCATCATATCACCTTATAATTTACTACTGTAGCTACAGGCAACCTATCATCCCATTTGTTGAAGTTACTAATTTAGGAAAGAGGTTGCTCTAAGAAGCCATCATTTTAAAATGTTGGCAACCAATTTGCTAGGTCATTGCTGGCACTAAATCTCCCACTTTGGTCTATAGCCAGAGGCAGTATCAACCTGCTGTCATAAAATTCTGATTATAAGTTCTCAAGGCTGAAAAAAAATCCAATTTTATGTGCCCTAGTAACAGTGCTCAAGCAAAAATTTACGTATGGTATATGTAAACACAAATAAATAGCAGCTTTCGACTAATGTCTTTCAGCACTTCCCCCTCCAAAAAAATCATGATGGCAAACTCCCATAACTCTATTCTTTCCATCCCAGACTTTTTCTCACAGAAGGATAACAGTAGAGTGAGATATGATATAAGTTCTACCTCACTCCTCATTTGTATTTTCCAGAAATACAAATAAAAATATGACATTACCCTTTTTTTTTTTTAATGAAAGCATCTATAGGTTTCATAACCTGCATGGCTTTGGCTTTGGGTTGACCTGACTGTAGTGACAGGAAATGAAGAAATGACAGGTACACATGAGGAAAACCTGGGACTGAATGGGCCATACACTAGGATGTCTCACTCAAGCCTGGAAACTGAGTGCATTTATTTTACTATCTCCAGCATGAGGGAGGAAGGGGCAGGCGAGCTAATCTGGGTAGGAGGCCCTGAGGGGAGCAATTGCAGCTGCAGTCATCCTGGAGGAGGAAGCTGCAGTTGATGTTGTCTGCATGTATTGTTCACATCCATACCTGAACCAGAGGAAGGCCTTGCCATTCCTCTGAGCCTCACCTGGGGAAGGACTTGCCATGGATCTGAGGTGTCAGGGTCCTTGACGTGGTTTATGCTCATGTCAATAATACACATTCACTCAGGACTTCATCCACTCACCACATATGACCAAGGGAGTGCATATATGTGGGTTGGTGCATATGTAGGTGTCTGTAT